GAATTAGGGGTTGTCATTCTGAAAGAAGGCTTAAAGGAGATTTGATGGAAGAGTTCAAAATCTGAAGGAGGATAGACAAAATAAGTAAAAAGAAACATCCTATTGGCTGAACGGTCGTGGATCAGAGGACACAGATTTAAACTAATCAGCAAAAGTACTAACGGGAATATTAGGAAAAACATTTTTGTAATGAAGCAAATCATTCAGATATGAAATACACTGCCTCAGAGGGCAGTGCAGGCAGATTGATTTCGGGTTTTCAAAAGGGAATTTGATAAGCTCCTGAAGAGAGAACATTTGCAGGTTTGTGGTGAACATGTGACTAAGTTAGGCAAGTTGAGTCGTCCTTCTGCACTGTAACCATTCTACAAGTCTATGATGCAAGTGGAAATAATGGTAAAAGTATTGACTAGGTAAAAACGCAAAACAAAAATCAAATTTGCAAAGAAATCTGACTTGCTGAAGTTAGCAGTTCAGTCTCCAAAAAGCTTAATTGCTTCCCTGCAAAATGTAAAACTCAAGGATTTCAGAAAATTCAGAAAATTGTTAAATAATATGCATATTAATAATTTATGAAGATACTTTAGCAATATATTAATGCTTAGTATCTGTCAGTTCAAAAAAATATTGTAGCTATAGTACAATTTAACCTATTCCACAAAGCAGATAATTGAATGAAATTCAGTAAGGTAACTAGGTAACATTGCACTTGTTGGAAATCTTAAACAACATTAATTTTCAGTCAGAATTTGTGAAGGGAAAATGCAGATTCTGATGTTTAGGATGTATACCCTTCATCAGTTTTTCAGAGTTTTCTGCCTATATTGAAACAAATTCCCTATTTCTATTCGCAGTTACATTAAAAATAAAAGAAGACTTTTGAATTTTTTTTCGGGTATTAACTTGTGAAAGTTTTCAAGAACTATTGGGTAATATTTTATCATCACTGCATGTGTTGTTATCGGATTGAGCTGATCGCCTGCCAGTTTGTGGAGACCACTCAATTTTCATTCTGTTGATTTTAGTGAATCTGAGATCAATTTGATGTTAAAAGTCAAATGAATTCTATGACAAGTGGGTGATTTGCTATGCCAGATTGGCACACAGACAGTGGATCTTGTGTTTTTCATACAGATCTTTTGTAAGTAGCCCAGCATTAATGTATGTTCCTCATTTTCCCTGTTGTCGCTTTCAGTGATTCAGCCAGACTTGAGTATGAGGCATTTGTGTCTTGTTTGTGCATGTTCCATGTAGCATTTTTCAGTTATGTAACTGCAATCTGTATGCTTTCTGTGTCACTCACGAATTTATCTCTCTTTACTTGACATGTTTCTTCTTTCAATTTGCCTAGTCTTTCTCTACTATTCATTTTTTTATCATTTTTTAGAAAAAATTAATTGGATGTGAGCATCAATGACAAGGCCATGTTCATGTCTATATTGTACTCATACTTTTCCCTTACTGCTTAATGCATCTGTTTGGTTTTACTGTCTTCTGTTGGTAACAGTCAGATTTCTCCTGAAAGTCTGTACTTATTTCTCTGATGTGGCTTTTCGACTGTAGCATAGATCTCTTTCCCAAGCAGTAAATAAGTGAGCATCGTGTCCAAAGGAGAAGCAAAGGATGTGTCAAAGTTAGGTAGGACTTAAAACGTAGAAGGACACAGAGGGAGTGGAGCCCAAAAAAAAATTTTCTGTTTGAAGCCATTGTCATAGACCTGCCAGGACATGAGCTGAAATGGTTGGTACCAGCAAGGAAAAACCAGTGAAGGCCTTAAAATAAAAATGGTATGAGGGGTATAGAATAGAGCTGTGTATTCATTTCAAATTGTGAGTGTCATGGTACTGAAAAACAAAGTAAGAGATAAAGGTAGGAGCCTAAAAAACAGCAGAAATGTGTTCGGAGGAGGAAGTCTGGTGAGGGAGAGCGAGCAGAAGACCAGAGGTAAGAATAAATGAATTGATGTATTGAATTCACTAACCACTATATTGTGGTAATTTCCAGAAACATGTACTAATTGAAACAAGGCATTGCTGTAAATTGCAATAGTTGTACGAAAAAGATGGTTTTTGAATGGAAAATAAACGTAGCTAGAAAGCTCACACTACAGTGCACACTGTGCTAGCAGGTTTGCAACTACATTGTGACAGACAGCTGTATACAAGGGCATTCGATAACAGCATCATGGTTGAGTTACTGCAATCTTTTTCTTGAGGTTACTGAGCTGAACTGGACCAGCTGTCTCAATATCATACCTACAAGCGCAGTGCACACTGGAAACTGGTACACTGTAACAAGTGGTTTACTTTCTGATCTCTCAAAATATCTCTACTGTATACAAGAATGAGGTGAGTCATGTGATTAAGGCTCACCAAGATGGATGTAGTTACAATAATTTTAAAAAAAGAAAACAATGCGAAACAGAGTAGTTCACCCTACGACCGGTACCTCCAGACTCAATTTCCACCGTCCAATACCAGCACTCGATCATTTTAGTGCATACTATTTAAACGATGAACTCTGTAAAGTTCTTTTGACCCTGCTACCTCTTCCACTGAAGACAAGATTAGCAATGTTAATGGAATGGCATCCTCTAAATTGCACTACTTCCTGATTTGGACATGCACTGCCTTATTATATTGACATTGTCCTGGAATTTGCTGTCTGATATTTATCAGGGGAGTGTTGATCTTTACAAAGACTACAGCAATTTAAGACAGCACATCTTGCCTTTGCAGGATGGCTTAGGGAAAGGCAACAGATGCTGCCTCATCAATATTGCCAACATTGTGAGAACAAGTTTTGAAAAACATAGTGACAACCAGCAGGATTTATTATGTATCTGTAAAGAAATAGATAGCAAATTGAAAAAGAAACATTTAAAATGTTATTGTGAAAAGATGGGGAAAGGGACTAAGTCGGAGGCATTGATGTGGGCAAAAAGGGTCAAAAGATTGTATGTGCTGTATGACTCAGTGATGATTAATTGATGTTTAACCAGCCAACAGGCCATTATTCGGCATTACGAATGTCTGTGTGTGTGAATTAATCTTATGAAAGTAAAGAATATGTTGAGATTGACTCGATAATTTGCAAGAAAAGTTCAACTTACGTAACAAGGTGACGAAAAAGATGATGATTTCTGTCATATTGAAGTCTTAAACATACTTCTGGCCGAGGATGACAGCCTCTGACTCACAGGCAGACTGGTGTTCTTGACCGTGACTGTGAAAACTAGCAATATGTCAATGGCATGGGAGACTCGGCAAGAATGAAGACATTGTACAATTTGAACCAGAGTGAAGACATGAATAAATGAAGGGTGCAACAGGACTTCCCCAACTGCAGGTCACAACCACCAATGGGGTCACCAGACAAGATTTTTGGAGTCATGAATTCCAAAGTAACGATGGCTGCGACGGAGACCAGACTGATTCCTGACAGCTGCCTGGCCCCTTTAAAATGCTTACACTGCTTTTTTTGCCACGAAGGAGTGTTGGTCTAATCAACTGCTCAATGAGACCTGATTCCGACAGTGCGAAGCTTATGGGTAAAGAGAAGTGTTCATTCTGCCAGCCTTTTCATCAGCTGCCCAAATGGCATGATTGGTGAAAGGAGGGGGAAGGGGTGTTACCCTCAATTCCCTTCACCCTCCCACCAACTCCTGTACACCTCCCCCTGTCACACCATGGTTTTATCCTGGGTCATAAATAGAAAGGCTGAAGCATGAAAATTGTGTCACACCGGAGAAATGCTTGGGAAACACTGGAACTTTGGTGTAAAGCAAAAGTAGTAAGTTAAAACAGCTGCCAAAAAAATCTTTCATTGACACAGAGCTATTAGCAAGCATGTAAAAACTAAAGTGATAGGAAAAAGTTAAAGATCAAAAATGTCTTGGCACATGCCATTGATAGACTTGGAAATCTACCACACCAGAAAGTTCCTTGATGCAAATAATCTAGTCCCAATCTTTGTTGCCGAAAGGGCCTGTTGCTAATTACTTAGAGAGCACTTAAGAGTCAACCACATTGCTTTGGGACTAGAGTCACATATAGGCCAGACCAGAGAAGGATGGCAGATTCCTTTCCAAAAAGAACATTAGTGAGCAATATCATTTTTTTATGACAACCAACAATGGTTTCATGGTCATCATTAGACTCAATTTCAAATATCTATTGAATTCAAATTCCACCAGGGAGTTGTGAGCTTGTGGAATTCTTTGCCACAGGAAACAGTTGAGGCCAAAACATTGAATTCAAGAAGGTGTTAGATATAGTTCTTAGGGCTAAAGGGATCAAAGGGTATGGGGAGAAAGTGGGAACAGGATATTGAGTTGGATCAGCCATGATCATTTTGATTGGTGGAGCAGACTCAAACGGTTGTGTGGCCTACGGTTGCTCCTATTTTCTATGATATTACAAGTTGAAAAATGTCTTGCTGGCAATTATGTGGAAGTACATATGACAACAAAGAGCACTGCATAAAGAGTAGTGTAAAATGCCTGAATGTGTGTGTGTATCCTTACAAATATTTCCATTTGCCCAATGGAGAAAAGATCTGTGATAGTTTGTTATGTTAGGAATCCTATTCAATGCTTTGTTTGTAAGTGTCCTTCTGCAGTGTTGTCCAATGCATAAGCTAAAATTGAATAGATCAAGTAATAATTGAAACCAAACACCTTAGAAAATTAGTTTGCGGTGCTGCAATAGATGATTGTCCTCTATTAGGAACATAAAGCTGCATTTAGAAATTGAACAGTGATTAACTGAACTAAAATTTAATCAACAGCACAAATGAAACATTAGTTGGATAAAATTTTGTGATATTATCTTCACTATATGTTAGATTAGCCACAGGGAACATCATTCTTGCATTGTTTTGAAGTAAAGAGGGGATGTTGAAATGTTTAATGAAGTCAGTAAATCTTGTACATTTTATTTGATGATGCTTTTATTTTTCTTCAATTGGCTCTCCCTTTTTTTTTCCCTCCTTTTATAAAGTCTCCTGCAGATCGGTGCAAGAAAATCCACGCTGGGGATGAAGTGATTCAGGTCAATCATCAAACTGTGGTACGTGTCACAGAAAGGCTTGGTGAGATTGTTTTCTTTGGAGGTAGGATTTGTTAAGACAGTAAAGAATGATACCCAGATTCTCATAATTGACTTTCGTCACATTTGCACTCTTTGAAAGCTAATGATATTTATCAGGTGATGGCAGATCCCAGGTGCTGTCATCAAATCAAAGAGATCTGCCACACAAGAAAAAGGCTCTTCAGCCCATCACATCTGTGCCAATCAAGAGCAAGCATTCTAATCCCATTTTCCAGCGCATGACTCATAGCCTTGTATGCCTTGGCATTACAAGTGCACATTTAGAGTCATAGAGTCAGAGTTGTACAGCACAGAAACAGACTCTTAGGTCCAACTCGTCCATGCCGACCAAATATTCTAAATTAATCAAGTACCTTTTACCAGAGTTTGGCCCAGATCCCTCTAAACTCTTCCTATTCATAGACCCAGCCACATGCCTTTTAAATGTCGTCATTGGACCAGCCTCCACCATGCCCTCTGGTAGCTCGTTCGATACACACACCACCCTTTGCGTAAAAAATCCCTCCTTAGGTCCATTTTACATCTTTCTCCTCTCACCTCAAACTAATGCCCTCTAGTTTTGGATTCCCCTACCCTGGAGAAAATATCTTGGCCACTCACCCTGTCCATGCCCCTCATGATTTTATAAACCTCTAGAAGGTCACCCCTCAGCCTCCAACATCCCAGAGAAAATAGCCCCAGCCTATTCAGCCTCTCTCTATAGCTCAAACCCTCCAACTCCTGGCAACATCCTTGTAAATCTTTTCTGAACCCTTTCAAGTTTCACAAATCCTTCCTATAGCAGGGAGACCAGAATTGCATGCAGTATTGCAAAAGTGGCTGAACCAATGTCCAGTACAGTTGCAACATGACCTCCCAACTCCTTTACTCAATGCACTGACCTATAAAGGCAAGCATACCAGATACCTTCTTCAGTACGCTATTGCACTTTTAAGGATCTATGAACCTGCAGTCCAAGGTCTCTTTGTTCAGCAACACTTCCCAGGAGCTTAACATTAAGTGTATAAGTCCTGCCCTGATTTGCCTTTCTAAAATGCAGCACCTCATATTTATCTAAATTAAACTCCCATCTGCCACTCCTTGGCCTATCGGCCCATCTGATCAAGGTCCCTTTGTACTCTGATGAAACCTACTTCACTGCCCACTGCATCTCCAATTTTGCTGTCATCTGCAAGCTTACTAACCATACGTCCTATGTTCACATCCAAATCATTTATATAAATGATGAAAAGCTGTAGACCCAGCACCGATCCTTGTGGCACACCGCTGGACACAGGCCTCCAGTCTGAAAAGCAACGCTCCATCACCACCCTCCGCCTTTTACCTTCGAGCCAGTTCTGCATCCAAGTGGCTAGTTCTTCTTGTATTCCGTGTGATCTAACCTTGCTATCCAGAGTACCATGAGAAATCTTTCAAACACCTTACCAAAGCCCATATAGATCATGTGCACCGCTCTGCCTACGTCGATCCTTCATTACTTCTTCAGAAAACTCAATCAAGTTTATGAGATACGATTTCCCAAGCATAAACCATGTTGACTATCCCTAATCAGTTCTTGCCTTTCCAAATACATGTAAACCCTGTCCCTCAGGATTCCCTCCAACAATTTGTGGACCACTGTTGTCAGGCTCAGCAGTCTATCGTTCCCTGGCTTTTCTGAAATAGTGGCACCGTATTAGCCAACCTCCAGTCTTCTGCCACCTCACCTGTAGTTATTGATGATACAAATATCTCAGCAAGAGGCCCAGACTTCCCTCGCTTCCCACAGAGTTCTAAGGTACACCATTCAGATCCTGGGGATATATCCACCTTTATGCGTTTTAAGATGTCCAGCACCTCCTCCTCTGTAATTTGGACATTTTTCAAGATGTTGCGATTTATTTTCCCATGTTTTATATCATTTAGTATCTCCCCCATCTCCTGCAGTTCCACACATAGGCAGCCTTGCTGATCTTGAAGGGGACCTAATCTGTCCCTAGTTACCCTTTTGTCATTAATGTATTTGTAAATCCCTTTAAGTACTTCTTCAATGCTATGAGGGTTTCTGCCTCTACCATGCTTTTGGACAGTGAGTTCCAGATGCATATCACCCTCTAAGATATTTCCTCAGCTCCCATTTAAATCTCCTGCCCTTTATCTTAAATCTATGGCTCCCTGTCATTGTTCAATCTACCAAGGGAAAAAGTCTATTCCGGTCTACCCTGTCTATGCTCCCCTATTGTGTGCAAGTTGGGAGCAGTTGACCACCTTTTAGTTCCTGTATAGACCTTTCTGCTGTCATTATCTGTTATAACACACAAGGGCTAACATTTAACCAAACACTTGGAGTTCGAAACAGAAGACAAAGCGTTCCAGACAAGTCATGATCTGAATATTGGTGTAGCCAAATTGTAAAAAAAAACTTTGATTTGAAAGACAACACAAAATTAAAAGTTTTGCAGTAAAGTTCAATGAGAAAGTACTATGAAACCATTCAGCATGGGAGCAGAATCGGTCTTTGAGCTCATCAAGTCAGCTCCACCATTCAGTGAGATCATGGCTAATCTCAACTCCATTTTCCTGTCTTTTCCCCATAACCCTTTACTCTCTTAACAATTTCTCAGCCTTGAATATACTTAATGACCCAGCCTCAAAAGTTCTCTGTTCTCTTATAGAATTTCACAGAGAGAAGTTCATCCTCATCTCTGTATTAAGTGGCCAACCCCTTATTCTGAGGTTGAGCTGTCTGGTCCTAGACTCTCTCACTTGGGGAAACAACCTTTCTGTATCTACCCTTTCAAGTCCCCTTAGAATCTTATACATTTCAATAAGGCCTTTACTCATTCTTCTAAACTCAAATGAATACAAGCCTAACTATTCACCCTTTCCTCATAAGAAGATCCCTCCATACACAGTACCAGCCTAATGAATCTTCTTTGGACTGCCAATGCCAGTATATCTTTCCTTTGATGATGTTCCAGCTATGGTTTGACCAGTGCCTTGTATAGTTTTAGCAAAACCTCACTGTTTTTATACTCTAGTCGCTTTGAAATAAAGGCCAACAGTTTGTTTGCCTTCCCTATTACCCGCGAAACCTGAATGTTAGCTTTTTATGGTTCGTGCATGGGGACCCCAGAATCCCTCTGTGTTTCATGCAATTCAGGCTCAGTTGAAAAGTGGAGCAGAGAGAATTATAAAAATCTTGTAATAACACAGTGTGGAGCTGGAGGAACACAGCAGGCCAGTCAGCATCAGAGGAGCAGGAAAGTTGACATTTCGGGTCAGGACCCTTCCTCAGTTCTTTAGAAGGGTCCCGACCCAAAACGTCAACTTTCCTGCTCCCTTGATGCTGCCTGGCCTGCTGTGTTCCTCCAACTCCACACTGTGTCGTCTCTGACTCCAGAATCTGCAGTTCTTGCTGTCTGTATAAAAATCTTGTGAAGAACTTGTGTAAAGATTGAAGGATTAATTCAGTTTGTTTTGTGTAAATTGTAATGAAAATGTAAGGCAATTTGAATGATGGACCTAATGTATAATGGTTTGGTTCTGTCATCTAATTAATGTTAGATGTTTAGCATATGTGAACTTTGCTAATCTGTTACAGGTTACAAAATTAATCAGCTATGACTGATGTTTTTAAGCCATGAAATAATTGTTAGCTAGAACAGCATTTCTAATATTATGTTTTGAAATTATATCCTGCAATGGGGCTTCACTATTTTGAATGTAAGTTAAACTTTCAGACGAAATGAACTGAGACCTTACCTGAGATTGATAATACTGGGCAGAGCATCCCTTTAGCTGCACACCCAGGAAGTGCCAGCAATGAATTCAGAGAAGATATTTGTAAAGTAAACAAAACAACCTTCTGACCAAAAAGGATTGTTAATATATGGGAGCCGATTTGGGAAAGTTGATGTAGAGGTGGGAGCAATATTAAATTACAATAACTGCAATTTGAAAATGTAATTTCAGTGTTGTCATACCAACTGGCAAGAAGGAGTCAGGAGTGAAGCAAACACAGTGGGTCAGATCCTTACCCTGATTCTGTTGGTTGGTCATAAGTCTCTAGTTTAAGAAATTTTATTACTTAACAACTTTCAAAAAAAGAGGAAGACACAACATCATATCCCTATACAAACATTAGTATATGGTGTAAAAAGGAAAGAGTATCCAGTCCAAACATTAATACAAACAAAATAACTTAGTTGGCCGGGGGTAGGGGTTTATATTTGGACATCCAAACTTGTTGGGAATGGCATTAAACAGGAAATTAGAGATGCATACAATAAAAGAAGATCTGTAGTTATGGGTGACTTCAATCTGCGTATAGATTGAGCAAACCAAATTGTTGTTGGTTCTACTATGATGCGATAGTTGCGTTCCTGTGCAACATTGCGTTATAGACAACTGCGCTATAGAAAGAATGGGACCTATGGGAAAAGTTGGGGCAGACACCCCAAAAAAGCATTCAAAATCACTTGAAAATCACTCAAAAGCCTAACACAAAGGATAGCACAGTTTGAATAAATGTTTAATTCATATCCAGTAATGAAATAAAAGTAAATTTAACACTTTACCTTGAAAAAGTGTCAAGATGACTTGATGGGGGATGAGGTTGTACTGAAAGCACTTCATGACAAAGCCCACGAAACAATCGCGTGATGTTGACGCGTAGTCCCCTGTGCACCGATGGAATCACATTATAGCCAACACAAGTTCACGTTTTAGAAATACCGTTCCCCTATTCGTCAATCGCGTTACAGTCCACTCGCATTGACGGAACACACGTTATAGCGGAACTGACTGTATTAACAATACCATAGAGGAGGAATTCCTGGAGTGTATGCAGGTTGATTTTCTGGACCAATATGTTGAGGAACCAACTGGAGAACAGGCTATCCTAGACTGGGTGTTGTGTAATGGGAAAGGAATACTTAGCAGTCTAGTTGTGTGAGGTCCCAAAGGACAAATAGTGT